CCACGTTCCTTGCTCTGTTGTGCAACAGCACGTGCTCAATTTATGTTTCGCGGCCCTGCATTGGAGCATGGGCTAGGTTGTAGGCTGCACATGAGGGCTTCGGGCTCGATGGTGATTCGGTGGTCCGTTTGTTTCGTCGATCAGTTCCTTCCCGAGCGCAACATGGAACCCAATTCTGATGCAAATTCCGCATGATTCAACCTGCGAGCCAAGGGCTGTTGGTGACTGTCGACCTCTGCTTGTTTTTGAATTCGCGATTCGGCCACCAACTTCACAGTTTAGGCTTGTGGGTTCAGGGCCGTCGACTTGAAGTTTGTAAGAGTTGGTGTCTGGGGTGGTGTCGCATTGTGTGCCGGCACCTCTGTCACGCCCGAGCCTGTGTTGTCCCGGTCTCTGGGGAACTGGAAGGTGGAAGCCCGTGGTTTCGGAACTTAAACTCAGTTCGTCCTTGAACGAAAAGCTTGTCCCCACCACCGGTCTGCAATTTTGGCTGCAGCACGCCCCTCCCGAAAAGGCCTCTTCGATGTCAGCCATTCAATGAGCCCAGGGGGTTCGATAGAACGGGTTGGGCCTGTTGTCATCACCATGGCTTTACAGTAGGGTTTAGCGACTATAGGCAGGGTTTACATCGTCGCCTTTCCAGCCTCTCCAGCTCTGATGCTACGCCGCTGGACCACATGAGCCTCTTGACTGGACTCCCCCGAAAACCTTTGTCTCTCACAAACTCAGAACAAACGTTGTGATTTCAATGATTCTGTTTTCCCGATTGGTCAGGTCACGGACCTGTTCATGTAAATCCTGTATGCCACCAGCCCCCCAAACCACATACTTCTTTTTCCTCGGCCCACCATGGCGGCGTCCTCGAAGTCGGGGCGCATTGCCGATGACCGTGGGACGAGGCGAGCAACCACAACGAAGGTGCGTGGGCCGATGGCTTCAGCATAGAATCTTGGATTCCTTCCAGCGATAGCCTAGGTACTGTATAAGTACAGAACATATAGTATCTGGTAATTACTAATATGTAATCTGCTATGAAACCTAATGCATTCTACATATCGGGATATACAGTGATATAAGACTATATATATATATATATATATTTATATATATTTATTATGTATACACATATATTTATGTGCTACCACCCAAAGCCCGCAGAATGTATGAAAACAGTCATAATCCACTGAATCTTCAATGCCACACACATACATAACACGAGAAATCACAGCGGGACAGAGATTCCGCCAGGTCTCATAGATATGAGAGCTTTTTCAGGGAAACATGGCACTCGTAATAACAGTAAGATTAATACTCCTACGAATACTAAGATCATACTCGACTCATACCAAGATGAATACCCTTGTTCTTCGATAAATGCCCAGATTCGTATTAATATTGATACAAGTCTAAAAAAAACTAATCATGATACTACTATTAAATTATGCTTAATACTAGTACTCCTACGAACACTACTATTCCCAGTAACAGTGATACTAGAACTAATATTCATATCAGTATTAGCGCTACTGCTAAAACTGATACAAAACTCAAGAGCAATACTTATGCAAGCTGCTCATAGTAGCAGTGATACCAGAACTAGTGTTCATTCCAATATGAATGCTACTACTAATGCTAATACGAAACTCAAGAGTAGTACTTTTACAAATATTCCTTCCTGCGAATACGAATCATCATATTAATACTCATATTAATGCTAATACTGTTGTTAGTACTAATGCCAAGATTTATACCAATACTAATAATAATTTAAGTAACAGTAATCCTACGAGTACTCATACGCATACTCTCATGGCTGTTACTGACATACTATGACCAATACTACTACTGACATTGGTAATTTTTTGTATGTTCAAGTTAGTACTAGTATTGATACGAATAGTCACACTTACATCCAGGCTGATACGAATATGGCAATACGAATACTAACACTAACAACCATACTCCTACGGTTACAAATAATCATATTCATATTGGTATTAAAATGTACTGTAATACCAATGTTAATGCATACCTGTACCGCAATGTTGTAAAATACCAATATACCGGAATATTAACATATTACTATACCAACATATTGATATGCCTATAAATTATTAGGTCGGTATACGAACATAGTCGTATACACATATACGAATATTCTAATATACGAAAAATTAGCATGCGAATATACTGACATACTAATATACCAAAAAACTCATGCACCAATGTACTGATATACTAGTGTATAAATATAAAAATATACGAATTACTTTGCTCACATTCTAATGCATTGATAAATTCAATTGTTAATATACGCGCCTATTAGTATATGAACACTAGCTCTAATATTACTACTAATAATCGTGCTTCTGCGCATACTCATAAAACTCATATTAAAATCAGCATAAGGCTGATACTATTACCAAAACTCGTATTAATACTAACACCGGCATTGACACTGGCATTAGCACTAAGACGACACTAAGTTATACGTACAAAACCATTCATACGAATACTTGTACTAAATACTAAATACGAACTGTTCAGAAAAGCAATGTTTTGGAGTACGCGCTTTTGTATAGCACACGTGATATTTCCGAGATTTCCAAAATTTCCGAAAATCTACTGAGTTGTCTCAAACTTAGCACGAAAAGCTCTGGTACTGGCGCAAACTTTGTAAGCATGAGTGGTGAAGGAAAGCACATACCATGTCAGTTTGTGCGTGGAGGACATGCAGACATGCACACGTGACATGAACCTTCAACCCGAACCCTGAACCCAGGCAGCAAGTACTGGATGTAGTACCTGAACACGAAAAGGTGTTTGTGTTATTATGGGATGGAAGATGATAATCTCGTATACTGCAGAATAGTATAGTATCGTATAGTACAGTGTAGTATAGTATAGCACAATCTAATATGATATATATATATATATATGTACACATGTACATGGACATCTTATAACATGTTACAACATCAAAAAATTTACCAGAGTAAACAGTAGTATAGTATAGTCGGGTGTAGTGTAGTGTAGTGTAGTATAGT